GGGAGGGGGAGGGGGAGGGGGTGGAGGCCCCCCCTCTTGAAGATCTGAAAAAATAGAGAAGGGACACAAATTAGTATTCACAAATAGAGTGGAAATACTCTGCTGATCTCCAGCTATCTGCTCAACTGCTTTAAGGTTTCAATTCCTCAAGTCTCAAAACAGCAATACTTTAGATTTGCACCTTTGTGTTTCTAGAGAAGATGCACCCTTTTGAACATCAGAAAATGGAATGGGAGCACTGGGTGGTGGTCACCAAGGAACTTATTAGCACTCTCCTGAGGAAGCTTACCCATTGTGCTAAGCCATAACAAGTTTGGTTTGATTTGCCTTAACGTGATGCATAACTCTAGGCATCATGGATTGTAAATCAGTTTATTGCTTAAGTGAATTCTATAATTGAACTACTACAGCTTCTGAATCACTTTGATTTTTATTCTATAGGCTCTAGACCAGAAATACTGCAGTATACTGACACCCTTGGAAGAGCAGAAAACCAACTAACTAAAAAGCGACACAATAGACTCAGGGGCCTTTTATGCTATTGAGTCCAACCCCATGCACAATGCAGAAATCCAGATTAAAGTATTTGTACTGGATGGCTGACCAGCGTCTGCTTGAACACATTCAGTTAACTGTCTCCCTCAATAACAGGTTCCACTGTCAATCTTACTTCTTACTGTTAGGTAGATTTTCCAAGTGTTCAACTAAAAACTAAAAAAACTTCCTGCAATTTTGAGATCATTGTAGGATGATAGTGACTTTTTTCTGTGTGACACCCCTTCAGATACTCAGTTGCCTTTATTTGCACAATCAATCTCAATCTTTTTGGGAGACTTAGTTTTCAGCCCTAGAACCTGTTTGCTTTTCTCCAAATTAGTTAAAGTTTGAATCCTGAAAGTGCGGAGCTCTGAACGCAGCATTCGAGGTTCCAGCTGATCAAACCATACCAGAGTGGAACTATTACAGGTAGACCCCGGGTTAACAACGGCCATTTTAAGGACGATCCATAGTTAAGAATGGAGCCTGGTGTGGCAAAATTCGAGTTACATACACAATGATTTGTGTTAAATACACAATGGTTCAAGTTCATTACACAATACTACTTTTACAGTATTATACAATAATACTGTTCTGGCTTACAAATTTGATTTAAGGACAGACCTTGGGAACAGAACTTGTTCTTAAACTGGGGACTGCCTGTATTACTTTCTTTGATTTGGCGACTGAACCACTATTAATGCAACTAGAAACTGTTTTCTTTTTCTGGCAGCAACATCACACTATAGACACACTCATAAAACCAAGGAAATGACTTGGCTCTTCTATAGGCAAATAGCCTTACAGGTGGTTTATTGTCTGCCAACTAGATATATCTCACTGCTTCCTAAGCCTCATTAAAAACAAGAAGGATTACAGTCATCTCCATACCACTATTTGCAGATGTTCACAGGAACCATAAATGAACATGAGAGGTACCCTGGGTCTTATTCTCTAAGCTAGCGTCAGAAATCCAAGTAATATATACTTACTTAAAATGGATTAGTAGTTTGCCAATCTGGCAGCTCTGGTTATTCACCCATCACTAGATGACATATACATCAGGTAAAAAGCACAAGGACTCTTACTGATTACGTGAAACACTGCTTTTGGGTGTAAATGGCAGGCAATAAGTGTTGGTGTTATTCTGTTTCATTAAGACTTACAGAGGCCCCTTGAGGAGTAACATCTCTCTGCTGCCAGAGCATCCAGATGGAATGAAGGCAAGAGTCAGTGCATACATAGCATCTGTGCAACTGGGCAGAACTGCCTCATGTGCCCATTTGCCTCCACCCTGCCCTGCTTATTTTCCGTTGTGCCCTTCAGGGGGATCCAGTACCTTGCCGGAAGATCTCTGTGGGTTCTGTACTGAAGGTGGGCAGCTCAGGTATAGCAGCCCCAGGAGCAGAAGGTGCAATGCCAGGGCCAAGGTCAGCACTGTACATGAGGTCTGCAGCAATGCCAGGCAAGTCAGGCAGATAGGATGGCACGTTTATCTCGGGTACCTGCCCTAGGTCTGGTACATAGAAGTAATTTTCAGCCACCTGAAAAGCAGGCACAAAATTAGAAATAAACAGAAAACACCTTCTGAGTTCCTCTGTTTCCAGAACTAAGTAAAAAAAAAAAAAAAGATCATGGCATGACAAACTCTGTAAAAGTTTTAAATGTGTGTGCTAGAACCCTTCCTGTATTCCCAGCATCCTCAGGGGATCCTCCTACTTTGAAATCAAAAGTAGGGCTATTGCAAATCATATGGGCTACTGAAAAAATGTGTTTTGCCAGAATGCCTTTGCCATCTCTTGGGGATCTAGCAAGAGAGGGATATAGGAATTTGTCCTCTTCTCCATACTACCAAGTGGCTCACCAGCTGATCAAGTTGCCCCCTCTTGGTGATAGAGAGGGGGGCATCAAAAAGCTTTTCTTCTCTTTCTGTCTCAAGAGCCACGTGGGTCTTGGTTACTGCACCAGCCAAAGGATCAAGGAAGACATACTTCTTATACCTGGGGAGGAAGAAGAGAAGGACAAGACAATCTCATCAGTCTACTACAAAGAGAACAAAGCAAAGACACTTAGGTGGGGAAAATTTATTTTTCCTCCATTATCAGGGTTTCACCATCCTTTTTGCAGGTTCTAAAGTTATAGACAATGCTGGAACAACTTTCTGCCCACAGATATTTCTACCCACAAAACAAGAGGCAGTCCCAACCCAGGCCTGCCCCAATTGATCAGGGGCTATTCACCATAAAAAAGATGGGAGAAGTTAAGAGTATTTTAAAAACCCTGCAGAGACAGACTCAACAGCTCACTTAAAGGAGTAAATATTCCCACTTGTTCTGTAAGGCTTTTTCTTTACATTTACTTAGCTCATGTTTTGAGACTGTTATGTGCACTTTAATAAAGAAAAACTGAAGTTGATAGTTTATCCAAGGGACCAAAGCAGAGGCGCAAGCTTAAAATTTAGCTCACATTTAATTAATTATATCACAAAGTCTCAGAGGGAAAGGGGCAAAAGCAATACTTTGAGAACACTACAAAATTAAAGAGGGATTTGCAAGAGCAGGAATAAACTTATCAACCTGTCAGTTTTCCCCTCCTTAATCTAATCAGTCCTGCATCAGTTCTGACTTTTATACTGTTCTCCAACCTAAGATCATATCACTTCCTAGTGTACAGCTATTGCTTTATAAGCATGACTTTGCTTAATAATAACCAAAATATTCACAGGAAAGCGAAGTAAAAAAAGGAGGAATGGGGATGGAGAAAAAGATGGACAAAGCAGAGAAGAATCAACAGGATTTAAGGCTTATGCTGAGAAATAAGGGTGAGGACTGGAAATTTGGCTTCTAAGTGGTACAATCAAAGCAGAGGAAGCTGGGGGATGCTTTAAAAAAACAGCAACAAACCTTTATTTTTGGTCACCCAGGACTAACATAAAACCAAGCAGTGGCATCAAGAAAATGGGCAGGACCACATTCCTAGGACCTTCTTACTGTTTTATCAGCTGAGGGGTGTTCTTGAGGATATTCCTTATTTTAGGCCCACTAAACCCATCTGAAGTCTTAAGGCACTTTATTTGCTTAATTTACTGACAGAAATCAATGCTGAATTTTTGGTAGTACAATCAAGGACATCTTGGGGAACCACAAAAGGATGTGGTGGTCACATTCAGCTGGTGGATTCCCACTCCCATAAGAACCCTTTCCCTGTTGAGAGAAGAGTAAGGCCACTGGCAGTTTCTGATATCCCAGAAAGGAAACGTGGCACAGAGAAGCAACTGCAAGGCAACACTTACAGGTTCTCGGTGGTATTGAAGAGCAACAGGGAGCTGAGGGAACTAATGTTTCTGGGAAGACTGCCAAGGCCTTCTTCTGCATCATCTTCATGATGGACGTTTGTGGTAACTGAAACTGGGAAGTACTTCAGCTTCTCCTACAAAATTCAAGCAACGTAGCTGTCAAGACCCCAGCAGTCCTTTACGTAGATTATTTAGATTAGGCATTTAGAAAAACTTAAAGCCACCTATGCCCCTCAGATACACAGCCCTGTTTGTTTCAGTGCCCATCTGGTTTTCCTGCCTCTCTTTCCTGCTACTGGTGTGGGATGGGGAAAAAATCAGTCTAGTGACAAAATCATTGTAAATGTTTTTGTGTAACAAAACAAGTGTGTGAGCCAGAAGCAGCTTCATTGGCCCTTGTCTAGTAAGCCAGCTTTTCCATTTCCATTATGGCTTCATTGCAATATCAAACTTATTAAATGAGAGGGATGGGGTAGAAAAAGCAGGACATGCATCTCTTTATCAGTCAGTCCAACCTGAAATGTAGGTTAGAATTCAGGCAATTAATTTCTGCTGTTGCAGTTCCAGTTCCAATTAGCTACCTGAAATCAGTTTGCTGCGATCCAGCGTTTGCTCCTTACTACAAAATATCCAATTGCTGTATTCCCTTTTCCAGATGGGTTGCTTGGCCTTACCTCACAACCCATACATTCTCTGTCTAGCCTGAACTGGGCGTTTTAGGAAGCCTGAGGTCCTAGAGAATCACCGCCAAATGTAAACAATACCAGGATGAATAAATGAATGATATAATAAGACAAATCTTAGTATATTCACAAGAAATTGACTATTTTCACGAAGACAACTTTCAAAGTGTTTTGTGTTCTTGTTATATTAATAGGAGTCATCCAGTCAGATGGATACTTTCCTGTGGGTTAAAAAAGACACAGAAAATGTAGTAACTGCTTTTAACAGCCTGCAGCTTACAGAGGATGCTTTTATTTATTTTATCCTAATATATGGAAACAGAAATTGCCAACAGTCTTTAAAAAACTGCAAATCCCCCACCATTAATTTTTTCAGTTAAATTTTTCTGATGCAGGCCTTAAAAATGCATTTTTTTCTAATGTACACTCTCCCGTTAAAGATAATTAACTGCTGCATTGTACAGCATACAACTTTCAGTAGCCAAACACATTTCCACATGTGTATTTTCAGCAGATTTTTCAATGAAGGAAAAATTTACCCTAGCTGATTTTTCTCCACTGCAGATGGGAATAAAATGCCCAGATCTGCTTCTTGGGCAGTGTTTCTCAACCTTAGCAGCTTTAAGATATGTAGACTTCGATTCCCATGTTGGGAGTTCTGGAAGTCAAAGTCTACACATCTTAAAGTTGCCAGGGTTGAGAAACACTGTTGTAGGGGAATGTGTGGCTGTGTTCTTTTACATCTTGATTTGAGACAGAAGGACAGTATATTTGATCAACATGTAGGAGGTCAGGTTTCAACTAGCAAAAGGAGGGAGAAGCTATTTTTGATGGACTATAAAGCTGTCTACATATCCTGCACATTAACTCACTGTGAGTTCTGGGGCTAGCCTGAAATATTCATGCCACTTTTACGGTGACTGACTTGGCTTCCGTTAAACTACAGAAAAATTTAAAGCGCTGAATTATTCAACAGTACTTTTATTTGGGGGTTTTTGAGAAAGAAAACAACAGCATGAGCCAGAAGCAGCTTCATTGGCCCCTGACTGGTAAGACAGCTTTTCCATTTCCATTAGGATCCAGAGGTCCGTATAAGCTATATCCCAAGAAGTCAACGTCATAAACTAAATTCTCTTGGGGAAGGCACATTTCTCTGGCTAGCAGAGTTTTGAAAAGAAAACAAAAATCTCTGTGGGTTGCTCCTATTCTTTGTTGTTGGTTGTCCTATGTAGCCACAAGGGACTCCTAAAAATGGGAAAAACTGCCAGCTTAATTTTAACTCATGTGCTCAAAAGAATGCATTCAGGGCTTATGCGTAGAGTCTCCAATCCAGGAGCTACAATTTTATTGGTGGAGGTTTAGTCTCTTGAATAAAGATTATGCAAAAAGGAGGCACTAATTCAGAGCCCCCAATAACTAGAAATGTACAAAACATGGATCACAAACAACTTCCTGCTCTGGAATATTTATTTCTGGAAAACTGCTCGACCACCCCAAGAATGACTAGATTAGCAAGGTCTGGAGGAAAAACTGAATGTTCCAAAATTTCCCAAAACATTTCATACACTCATTAATAAATTTCTAAGGAATCCTAGGTTTTCTAAAAATAGAGCCTGAAAACTTCTAGACTAGAGACAGGAAAGAGCAGGCAATAGCCAAGGGAAATGGGAGCTTCCCCATCACTCCATTCTCCACTCATATAGACATTGACTAGGTCAGAAAACATAATTCTAAGATGGAATTTTATCCCACACCTCTCAATGATACAATCAGTGAACACAGAGACTGTTCATGGGTACAATATACAAAAAAAATATTATTTATTTATTTGACTTATACCCTACTGCAGTCTATGACTGAATCCAGGCATAAAAATGCAAACTCATTGCTAGGGACTCATTTTTTAGTATTTTTACGGAATCCTTCAGGGGCTGCAGCACAGTCCAAACAGATTTCTTACATAAAGAAGGCATCTTTCTATTCCATGCAATACCTTTGCTGCCCTGGCACCTCCTCAGGCAATTGTGACACTGTCTGACGCTAACAAAAGTCCACAGCAAAGAGAAGCCCCTTGAGTAGAGAAATGTGACCATGTGTCCTCTGACGTCCACCCTACCATCCTTACCTGCAAGGATTTCTCATCCAATGCTCTGTGCTTGCTCTGAATCTTGTGCCTTGGTTGTTTCTGTGCCTCTGGATCCTGAGCACCAGAGAAAATAGAAGCATATTCTTGCAGCCGCTCTGGTGCAGGGTATTTAGAGCTGGAAAACACCTAGGAGGAAAATTGTAGAAAGACAGAACTGAAACCTGGACAGAAGGTTGCCAGCACACAATCAAGACACTATGGAGGTTTTTAACAGAAAGAGAAAAATACAGGATGAGTGTGTTAATACAGAAGGAGGAATGAAGTACGAATAAAGTATCTCAGAGTTTAATTCCTTACTTATAAAATAATCTACTTTACAAGACTCTCTGATATATGACAAATGCAAACCTATAAACGTAGTATTAGCATGGAGGATTTACAACTGGGGACAATTATCATGCTGGAGTAGCAGGATTCAGTTCCAAGTTCCATCTCAGCTTACTACCAATTCGTTAACTGCACTGGGCAAGCCAAGTTCTGGCTTAACACTTCAGATATTTGCTGGTGTAAGTAGTATCTAGATGCTTGGAACACTTTAAGCATTTAAAAAAAATACTGCTGCTCTAGAATATAAGAAAAGAGTGCAAATAAACAGGCTTATCACCCCATCCCCAAACCAGATCATGACTGTTACAGAAGGCAACAGGTTAGAGCACCTTCCTTCTCTAATCATCAAGATACCAATTATTACTGCTACCATTTTGTATTTGCATTTTTTAAAATGCCCATTCAGGCAATTGTGAACGGCATGGTAGCTTGGACTTTAATCACAGATGAATGCAAGCAACACCATTCAAAAGAACCATTGCAATTGGCATCCAAACCTTAATAGCCTTCTTGCTGCCCTTTATCTTCTCGATTTTGGCCTGAGCAAGGGTGACCCGCTCATCGATTGCTCGCAGCTGTGCCCGGCTGGCTTCCACTTGTTGGGAGATCCTAAGAATCAATCAATCAGTTTGCAGCAACATTTAACGAATGGGCAACAAGAAACTGTTCACTGGTTGGTATACAGATTAAGTGAAATAATGTATTTCCAATAAAATAGCTATCATTAAAACACTACCAACTCCTTTCCCCCTAATATGACCAACCAAGGCAAAGATCGTCATAATTTTGCCAACAAGCCCATCAAATAGAAATAGTAGTAATTATAGTAGTAGTAATAAAAGGAATCCATGTAGCCCCACACATATTGAGGACACCAGGTTAGGATAAGCTATGTTATTACTTTACATCTGTCTGCCACATAGGGTCAACTTGGATCTTAAGCAACTGTTTTTCACTCTCAACCAGTTTGGATTCCCACACTGCTTCATGTTTGGGATAGACAGTCATCACAGCAAGTACTACTACGGGACAAAAAGAACTCAGGAATAGGTGTTCAGGTTTGATGGAAAGGAGGAAGAAACTGATTCAGTTTGTAAGTCAGAAGCAAATATGGTCTGGGCTAAAGAACTGCTTCCTTTTGCAATAAACCATGTCTTCTGCATTATGTTGTCTTCTTCCCAACTTCATCCTTTTGAATTTCTTATCAGGTCCACAAAATCTTGAAGCAAGAAGCCCTTCCCAAGCCTTCCTTACCTTTCAGTGAACCTCCTGTAACACGGTGTCGATGAGGCTACTCTTAACAATGATTCAGAAGCTACAGCTGGTGCAAATGCAGCAACCTGGCTTCAAGCAGGGAGGGGTTGGCTGAGTAGCATCATGTCAGCATTTTGGTTGCTGCCCGTAAGCTCTGGGTCCAATTTAAGGTGTTGGTTTTAATCTGTGTCCCACATGGTTTGGACCACTGCATTTATAGGAACATCTCTACTGCCCTGACTCAGCCCTTCTTATATGCTCATCCCAAGAGGAACTGCAGCAGGTCCCCACTCCTCATGAAATGAAAGGAGTGGGGATCAGAGGCATGTCTTCTTGGTAACAGCCCTGCTTAGTAGAATGCCTTGGCCACTCATTTTCCCTTCGTAAGGTGGTTAAAACCACTGTGTTCCAGTGAGTCTTGGGTGCAAAGCTGGATCTGGGCTACCATGAGAACTTTTTTGGTACTGATGTGGATTAATGTTTCATTTTACTGCTACACTATTGTAAAAGACTTTAGGTTTTAAAAGTAGGGCAATATGTAAACATCTGTATAAAGCAATAGATAAATAAAATATGAGCTGATATAGTACGTCTGATTGTCAAGTGACTAATACAATTGTGACTAGCCAAGGAAAGTCTTTCAAAAAATAGTTATTATATCCAGAATAGAGAGCCAGTTTGGTATAGGGGTTAAGGCACTGGGCTAGAAATCGGGATACTGTGAGTTCTAGTCCCGCCTTAGGCACAAATCCAGCTGGGTGACCTTGGGCCGTCACTCCCTCACAGCCCTGGGAAGGAGGCAATGGCAAGCCACTTCCAAAACTTGCCAAGAAACCTGCAGGGACCAGTCCAGTCGTCAATACTGACTCAAAGGCACAATCAATCAATCATCTAGAATAGTCATCACACAGATGAAATGTCTCCAAAAAGAAAACCACAAAAGTACCCATTACACATTTGTGCACATCTGCATGTAAGATTTTAACAAATATAATACCTGTAAAGAATTTAACACCCTCTTTTTAACAAGAGTGTTCTTCCTTGTGTTAAGCCATCTACAACAGACAAAACCACCTTCCCTCCAAATAAAGTCCAGCCTAAAGTACTAGCCACTCAGATGAAACCATGTCAAGTTTCCCTAAGTTATTAAAGCTGCAGTCAGAAACAAAGAACCGTTATAATCCTTCACATTGAGGCAGTGAAGGGGTGATTGATATTTGCAGTAGATAGATTAATGTCACCCCCTTCCCCAACTTTGCAGAGATAAATATATTGAGATTAAAAGACAGAAACAATGTGCAGATGAAGGGGAACACTAATCATATTCACTGGCATAGCAGCTCTCTGTCGCAGAAAACCAGCATTTAGAGCAGGCTGTCCTGATTCATTATTTTTCCAACTTCAAGGATTCTAGGCTGAACATGAAAGAACTGCTGTTACAGTCTGGAGAGTAATTTACAGGATTGTCATTGTTTTATTTATTTATTAATTCAATTTATATGGCCGCCCATCAATCAAGGTGAGCTAAATAAAACAATGGATTCCAAAAGAATCCAAATAAAACTACACCGAGCCTCAAAAAAATCACATACACCCATCCCAGAGCCCCATACTAACATCTTGACCCCAGTCCCTGGGGGAAGTGTCAGATCTTCATGGCCTTGGAAAAAGCCAACAGAGTAGGGGCTGTGCATATTTTGGGGGAGAGACTGTTCCTACAGCAGGTGCCATGACAGAGAAGGCTCACTTCCTAGAACTCACCAAGAGACTGACAGTACCTGGAACATGCCCTCTCTCCCAAATCTGGCAGGATGGGTAGAAACCACAGGGAGAGATGGTCCCTCAAGTAACTTGGTACCATGTCATATGGACTTTAAAGTGACAACCAGCACTTTGAATTGTAGTGGGAGCCAGTGTCGTTCATGTAGCAATGGTATTACATGGATGTACCATGTTGTGCCTCATACTGCACATGGCACTGTGTTCAGGACCAGCTGAAGCTTCTGAATGCTCTTCAAGGGCAGTCCCAGCATTTAGGTAGAATTTGTATCCCTCTTTTATTTTTGGTCAACTCAAGGCAGCAAACTTACAGTACTTGATATTATGTATATTAAATCAGTCATGTACAGTATGATTAAAACGTATGTATGCCTATTTTCCTCACAACAACAATCCTATGAAGGGGGTTGGGCTAGCCCAGTCACCCAGCTGGCTTTAATGCTCCAGGGGGGACTGGAGCTCATGGTCTCCCAATTTCTAGTCCAGCACTTAGCCACCACACCATACTAGTTCCTGACATAGGACAGGGCCTTTTCCACACTGTTGTCTCCAAGTGTTTGGGGCCATAATTCCCACCATACCTACATTTTCAGTTCCCTGGATAGAACTGATACATACTGATGACCAAAACATTTAAAGGGATCAAGGGCGGAGGAAAGTTGATATACTTATGAACTATCAGATTCACTTCTCTTCAGCCATGGGTCAGTCATAATTTCTTAGCCTCAGATAGTGAATACCAAATAAAGGGACAGGGAGGTAGCAAGTATTTTCCAAAATGTATTTATTATTTAATTTATACTCCACCTTTCTGCTTATACAAGCACTCATGATAGCATACAACAATTAAAAATTACTCACTGAAAAACAAAACAATAAACTCAGGACAATTAAAATCAAATCCAAAAAACTAAAACCAGAAATTAAAGTCAGTATCATTGAAATAATTATTCTGTACATTCTTCTGAACACCCTAGAGGGATTAACGTACATATACTTATGTTTCAAAGCTCTGAGAAATGCCCAGATAAAATCTCCTGAAGGAATTGCATTCAGAATATAGACACAGCACATGTTATACACATGCATGAAAACCTCCTCTTCCAACAAGCAACAGAAACATCTCCATACGTTGATTATTTATTCATTGACTACTATATTTAATTACTTATATTATCTTTGGTTTGTTGTACTTTGTTTTTACTTCACCATGTAGAATTGTAAGATTGAGGCTGTTAACAAGTGTAGTAAATATGGTAAATAAAATTAATTCACTTGCATGTATGTGTCCAGATAAACACAGGATTAAAACAATCTTTTTCAGTGATTGTACTATATAGCAACCCTGTGTTTCAATAAATTCAGGAACGGCTACTTCAGGTAGAGAAAGTTGATCTTTAATGGTTAAGTACAAATGCTATTATTATAAACACCAATATGGTTTTAAGAGAAAATGATTCATTAAGTCCAGTCATTAGCATTTGGAATAGGTGAGAGTTTTATCAACTGCCAAATAAACAGTATGGTGACTGGTTCTATGAATATGGCTAGCAGAACGTGGGCCATCCACGTATCTGCTAGCCATATACGTCCAATAATCAAAGAAAAGAAATGGAGTATCAGACCAATCAAAGTGATTACTTTAGTAACAGAGGAGCTCAATTCTTTGATTACTCCTTGATACTGCAAAAACAGTGGGCACAGATTATCCTCTGGTTTCCTAAGATTTGGGTTGCAAATGCAAAATGGGGGGATCACATTAATCCACTGAATATTAAGTTATCCAGAATATAAAATGAATGATACCGTACATCTGTCTGTTGAATCCTTGGCATTTTTAATAATGACGGACATATACTTTACTCCTTCCAGCCAAAACAAGTTGATTGACAACCAGAATGTAAAAGGGAGATCCTTAGAAACTGGGCTTCTCCTTACAACTTTATGCATGGATAAAGACAAGAGACCCAAAGAAGGCAAGCAAGCAATTAAGAAAAAGCCTATAAAAGCATAAGTGAATGAGAGACTGTATTTGATATAAGACCATCCATAGGGTAAGCATGCCTCACACAGAATCAAGTCCCTGGATTCAATATGAGTCACACTGGGAATGTTCCCCATCTCTCTTTTTTCAGTTGTGTATGCAGAGGAATGACTGCATTATAGCTTCATGCTCTGTTACAACTCTGCCAGTGCATAACCAAGAGAATAGTTTTGAGGATTACTGTTCTTTAATTAATTTGCAAGGAAGTCTCTTGGATGGGATAAGGTTCTGGTATGCTGAAAACAGCTGGTGCCAAGGGAATTGATAGCACAATATGGAAAAGGCAGCTGAATAACAGTGAAATTCTGCTTGGTTCACGAGATTTGGATTCACAGGGAAGCAGAGAGTTGGGAGAGGATCAGAATGATGCTTTTAATAAATATGTACCAGACTGCTGGCAAAACTTTATGACCAGGCCAGGCAACACAACTTGTCTTAAAGAGATAGTCACCAAGGGGTCATTTGCAATCAGCAGCTGAACCTAGCCATGGCTAATCTTCCCACAGTAACTCCTTTCAAGAGAGAGGGGGAA